GTGATTTATTTTCAAATCGATGTTCATATACTTTTTATGTATATACCAAAATTATATAGAATTGCATTAATCGTAGTTCTGTGGTTTTCAAATGCGCGCAGGTGACATTAAAGTATATTTTTCAGATACGTTTAGTAATGGCAATGATCGCGAATTTGATCCGCTATCTCACGAGGCTCGTCGACATTGTCTCGAATTGCACGACGAAACCGCGACCACAATTTGTCTCACTTGTATTGTCTCATTGTACGCAATATATGTATTTAATATGATATTTAAAATAATGGAATATAATATTCTGATAATTTTCAAAATCAAAATAATTAACCCATCAACGCATTCTGCTATCGATGCGACACAAATACACAACAAGTAATTTTCATCATTTTCAATTTTCTCCAACTGTCTCTTCAATTGTTCTATATATTCCGCAGTGTATGAACATGATCGACAATGTATGTACATTAATAGTGATAATATGAATCAACATTGATAATAAATAAATTTATGTAATTTTTAATTTAACCGAGACAGACAAAAGAAAGAGACGTGATAAATCTAATTCTTGATTGTCAAATGGATGAATCATTTCGAGAAAATGGGGATAACTGAAAATGGCCAAATTCAAAATTGAGTCTCTATATTTTTTCTTTCAATACTAATAGAGAGATACATCAAGGACAAATGAGGCTTGTCTACTAGTTCAATAGAGGACCAAAAAATGGCTGGAAGACAACAAACGGGAGTTATTTGTTAACATCGATTTATTATATTACCATCACGTGACACTCAAAGCCTATATCTGCTACAATTCTTTTCTATTATACTAATTGTTAATGTGGTACGTTTTTGTAAACACCTCGCTGCGATATTTATAGAGATATATACACACAAGAATATATCAAAATGATTTACTATGTGTTATTAATTTTATTATTAAAAGGAAAAAAATGCACGAAATTACAGAGAAATGTAGAAAAATTGCTAGTATCAAGCTTAATGCAAGTAATACATAAAATACGACACAAATTTCCGAAAAAGAAAACTTAATCAGTATGGATTAAATGCATTGGAAATGCGCAGGATTGGGAAAGTTACTTTTTAAAAGTAATGTAAGAAATAGACGACCGTAAGCGGTCATGAAAGAGATTCAGAATATAAACAGCTAAGAGAGGGGAGCCGTTGCGGTCGTGCAAACTAAGTGTCTTGATAGTAAGCAAGGGATCCCGTTCAAATCAAGTCGGTCTCTTTATTTTTCCGAATCTAATAAATATCTTTTAGTAATTCCTTATCGAATCAAAAAAGTAATTAGTTATCGTTACTAATTTTTGAAACAATAATTCGTAATCATTTCTTAAAAAGGAACGATTAATTATTTTTTCTGTTACTTTTTTAATTCTAAAGCGAGATCAGATTAAATAAAAAATAAATAAAAAAATAAATTTTTCTCATATGTTTTGTTAAATTAGTGTGAAAACATATAACCTAAAACGGAGAAATAATACCAGGCCTGCAAGTGGATGCTATTAAACTTCATATATACCCAATGATATATAAAATTGATTTTTTTATCATAAGAAACGAGAAAACGAATTTTAGCCACAATGACATTTTCCAAAATTTTCTTAAACATATATCAACAT